TACATGGGCACTATTTTATCTACAGACACGGCTTATAACCAAGTGAGGAATTCATTCTAAAAACCTTAATGATATGCCTCAAAAACTGCATAGAACTGAAAGCAATCAACCTAATTAGAAAAAAAAAACAAGAATATAACTCTGAATCTAATTCTATGTCAACATGTGCCCTGCAGCAAAAGCCTGCAAACTGTTACGTATTAGTTGGCTGGCTGCCTTCATCTGCTGTTGACTAAAAAAATTATAAAAAAAAAAGGTTGGTAAAAGAATTGGCAGTCCTTTGAGGTGCATTCAAACCATAGTCCCTGCATATTACTAAGGAAATTCCTAACTAAAAGTGTGAGATTAAATGGCGTCCTTCAAGCCCAGCTGGATTTCTTGTCATTGCAAAGTGACAGGAGAGTGGGTGATTAGGCAGGGGGTAAGAGGCTGGTAATTTAGAAGATGAGAAAGAGGAGGCTAAATTCTGATTTAATCCCATCTCAAGCAGTTAGATATACTCCTAAGGTTTTTCTATTCAAAGCTGAGGTGATTGTAATTAATGGAGCTAATATCAATAAGAATTAGCTTGGTCATTTTGTTAATATATTTAAATTACTTAGATCCCACCACATTGTTATGGCAAGTTAGTTGACGCAGTCAATATCTTATTAGTTTATATCAGACTAAAACTGTCAAATGGTACGTTTTCCAGCAAAATATTTCTTTAGGTGACTACTGATGTGTAGTGCTGCTTTTCTTCCATGAGAAACACATCAAAGTGGCAATTTTGTACAGCTCATTGCTTTTAATAGAGTGCAATAAAATACATCCTTTCTAGTGTAATTAATGAGGAGATTACAGAGGCGAAAAATCTTTTCCTGGAGGGTATGTATCATGAGCATTGCAGTTTCTTAAAATTTGTGTATTAATTTCTCTGAAATCTTTTTTTCAAACATCAGACATAAAACTTAAGATGTATCTTATAAGAAGTGAATTATACCATTAAAATGATTATTAATTCAATGTATGTCATTGCATTCTACAGTTTAAGTTAAACTTGCAATTGGAGCATATATTTTAAACTACATCACAGAACAGCCCCTAACACTGACATTTATTTATTTTTGTAATGACGACCAACAGCCAACTCAATCAATAGGTCTTTTAAATTCACCTCTTCTCTCCCACACTCCTCTTTCTCAAATCATTTTCCTCACTCATTGGTTTCTTATTTTCTAATCAATTTCAGCATTGCACAAAGCCCTCGGATTAATGTGCAGAAATTAATAAATAAGAAGGCACATTCAGAGTGACTGCTAATGCATAAGGAGAGAGGATTCTCACAACCTGCTGCCCCTGCTATAAAAACATGCCTTATCAACATTTTCTTAGTGTAACATGTCAATGATGTGCTACTTATTTTATCTACACGGCTACATGTGCATTTGCTGTAAGTTGCATGATCTCTCTGTCTTTTCATACATACAGTATGCAGAAGAACGTTTTCTTTCCTTTGAAGTTCTTGTGTTTGAGCTACAGCATGTTATCAGTAAATTGTTCATTTGAAACCTTGTCCCTCAAAGAGAACATGTACATTTTGCTCTCCATTTGCTCCCTTTGGGGAAAAAAAAAAAAAATTATTAAAAATGGACAACACATATAACTATGAGGCAGAAGACACACAAGTCTATCTATTACTGAATTGGTCAACATAGACTAAACGCCCTTTTATAGATAGTTTGGGATAATGTGCAGCCGGCACTAAAGATTCTACCTCCGCTTTGGCAGCAATAAAAGTTTTAGCTCTTTAAATGTAATTCAAAGAGCTAAAACTTTAGGAAAGTGATAGGAAAGTGATCCTGTCCAAACCTTTCTCACATACCAATGACTGTAAAGATGAAGCTCTTTCTTTGTTCTAAAACTATGAACAGGTTATCATTTCCTTGATTTTATACCAAAAATGAATGCAATAGGTTTTATTTTTGCATTGGAGCATTATGAATTGGTTGAATGCAGTTGGTACAAAGTGAAACAGCTTGAATTTATTTAACTTTAATATACATAACATAAACTGTATGATTCCCATACTTGATTTTTCATAGCAAATGTACATTTCAGAATTAAAATATAAATATAATTTCTTGTCTTTAAATCTCTGAATTGGTTAGGACCGCCAAGGTTCTCTGAACAACTGCTTCTTGTCATTATGGGGACAGGTTAAAAGTGATTTACTGTAACAGTGTGAAAAAAGCTGAATGGCAGCCCCCTTACCTCAAACTCCCAGCAAAATCGCCTCAAACTTCCAGCCACTGGAGTGACCCATGCTTGCATATTTTTTTACTCTGACTCCACTCTTTCACTGAATTACAGAGTCTGACCAGGAGATAACACTTCTCTTTAGATGTTAATGTCCACAAATCATGACAGAAAGAATATTTTAGTACAAATATTGATGTTTAAAAAGGAATTGACGGGGAACCAGCCAAGGGCTCATCAAGGAAAGTGGGGACATTTTGAATGGCTAATACTGTAATATACTTTGTAAACTGGCAGTTATTTGGTCAACTTATAATTATTGTAAGTCACAGGGTTTTTTTCCCCCCAGGACTTTTAAAAAGTCTTGCTTATAGTACTATTTGTTTTATTGTAATATACTAGAGGTGCAGAATGTCTCTTTGTCTTCTAGTAAGAAATGTCTTAACTATATTTTGTTAAGTAACTTAATCATTTTGCAGAGCTTACAGAACAATGTATTGGACTGCACTATAAGCAATGCACACATTTTTAAATGAACAATTTAGCACTGCAACATACTGATCAATAAGTAATAAAATCCTGGCCGGTAATTTAATAATGAAAAACTGCTTTGAATTGACGTATCCTTAAAGAAACACTCTCTCATTCATTACAGTAGAAGAAGGAGATCTCTTCTTCTATCATTGTTTCATGTATTTTCAAGCCAGGTGGAAAAAAATCCCAAAAATAAGTATAATTCATAGGATTGGCAATTGAGCATTTGCTCATCCGTGTAAACACATTTGTCCATTTATGACATCTTTATTTGTATAAATATCCTGTGTGATTCTTTTTTAGTTAAGCCGTGAATAATTTGCATCAAAAAGATTTAATACACTTAAGGCTGCAGGGAAAACAAATGTTGGCATTTAGGCATTGGGTAAAAAGATGTAAAAGCATTAGAAAAAGACGAACATCACAGCTGCTTTGTGTCCTACGGAAAAAGCCTTTATGGTGCAACATTTGTACTATACATGACGTCTCAAAGTGTGGTCAGTTAAATTATGCTACACACATCAAGAAACGTTTTGTGCTTATCTCTTCTGGTTTCAAGACATTTGATGTGGAACAAGGAATAACTAGATAGAGTTCAATTCTGGTGTTCCAATCCCTTCCATGTCCACAAATAAAACACCTCGACATGAATAGTAGTTCTGTAACCCTTAATATAAAAACAATGACAGGGGTTTCCATCAAATTTATCAGCTGTTCAATAAATTCAAGTCTTGTAGGGTGATAAGACGGCCCCTTTGCATTGCGCCCATTCATGAAATGTTCTATAAACATACAAGAACTAGTGCACATTCATTGGTAGTTTAACAAAGTGGAAGCATTAGGAAACAATAGCATTTCAGGCACAGAGTGGTAGACCAATCAGACATGCAGTGTTGATCCACTTTTTGACTGCGCAGCTAGAGCAGCAAAGATACTTCAGCCGCGCGTCAGAACTAAACTTGTACAAGTTTAAATGAAGCAGCAAGCGCGTTTTTGCTGCCTTAGCTGCGTGCGGTCTGAACATAGCCTTATGTGACTGAGCACAACATGCAAAAGAACAGGTAAATTATCAGACGTGAAAAGCAATCTAACACTGATGTGGAGGAGACAAAGCTTACTTACAGTATCTGTGTTGAAAGTTGATGAACAATCCTGGGTATGGAGCTTATCAAGATAACAATACTTGCAATACTGCTTTTTAGCCATGTCAAAGTTTGAGGCCTGTGTTATGCTGTGAGGTTGTTCTTCATGGATTGGGATAAGCCCCTAAATTCCAGTGAGTTCCCCACAAACACTAGAACTCATTTAGACATTGATTTTTAGGCTAAATCTGGTCAGTCCGTAAAAGTCTTGATTTAGTCCAAATAAAAATTGGGCTATGTTTGGTTGGTCTGATTTTGTCCCATTTTAGTCCAATAACAGACATTAAAAAGACGTTGCAAACTGGTCTTTTTAACAATCTGAAAATTACGGATTTTCACCTTTTACTTTTCAACCAAATGCAGATGTTGTTTGGATGTAAATCATGGCAACTTTTCAACCAATCTTTTGCTCTGTGGGCATTGTTTGTTCAGCATGCAATGACCTATTTGAACATTTGTTGGTTCCCTCTACATGGGTGGAAGTTTGTGAATGGTACCTTTCATAGACTCCAAGACTGCACTCTTGGGGTGCTAAAGCAGTAAGATTACTGATGAGCAAGCCTAGATTTGAGAAACTGTTTCAGCTTCAACAAAGCCCTAACCTCATATAGAAAGAGCAGCTTTAGAATGGATCAAAGAGGACTAAAACAAGACTTTTTTGTCCAAAGGCTTGGTCGTGAGGCTTGAAAGGCTTGCCTATAAAGGTGAGAGCCTCAATTCTTTTAGCAAATAATGCATGAGTAATTTTAATAATTTTACATCCTGCGCAGACAGTGGTTTAGAATTTTTTTTCTTGTTCATGGTGAGAGGTTTCATTTCAGGTTAATTAAAACCTCTATTTTGTTCCTACAGTGCATTGAAATTTCATGAAAACACCCTGAGTCAAAGAATCCAGCTATTACGATTGTCATGATCTCCTTCTTAATTAGATTAAGTCTAAATTTAATCAGATTTGACTATCACCTTTGGACAACCAAGCAAGTGTGCCTATATTTATAACTCAGATAACACCATGCATATTTTAAATGCCATTTACATCTATCCAAAAAAGAAAAAGTTGAAAAAGTTGTCTTGATTCTGACTTACAATGTGGAGTTTCAAGAAGTCTCCAAGTCCAGAGGAGCTATCCACTCTCACTAAGACAGCATCCTTCAGGTGTGTACTGAACCCAATGGCAAGTCGATCCGCCCTTGTGCTGGGTCTGTCATTTGGTGGCCACGTGTAGGTGATCAGTCCACCATCTCGGCCAAATATGTATGTTGTTCCCGCTACAAGATAAAAGAGGGGAAAAAAGAGGCAAACTTTTCAATAACTACAACAACAAGAGTAAACCCAGCAGGCATCCCCGGCTGTAAACACAAAACCATTATTAACATAGCAAAGCTGGCCTCAGCTCCATGTGCACAGAGAACCGTCAGTCTAAGTGTTTTATTGTGCTGAGTAATGACTTTCCGAGCAGCGAGCAACATATCACTCTTGAACCGCTCTCAGCTCCATCTGAGAGTTTAAGTACACTCATGTCAATTCATGAATGGAAGAAAATCCAGCAAAGAGTGCGAAAGGCAGGCAGAGGTGCCGCTTACCTGGTAATACCTGGCAATTACTCAGCTTTACTGCCTTTGCTTGTTCACCTTTGGACTGATGAGACACAAGCAAGCACTTGCAAATTTTTAGTTATGTCCCAAGTGTCCAACAGATCGGCATACCAAATGGCAACCTCCTCCTCTCTTGTGCTTCATTAGTAGAATCAAAGAACACAGAAACATTATTGACTGAGAGGGCCAATTATGCCTTGCTTGTACCCTCCACACCAGCTATTTTCTGTCTCCCTGAATCATGTCAATGTCCTAAGCTACTCTATGAAAGGTTAAAACATGACCTGTTAGACTTAACAGTAGTTCTAATAGCCAAGCTATTTAGTGGAAAAGAGTCTCGGAAGAAAATGAAACTGACCTACTCAAAAAATGCGGAAAAAAATAAATAAATAAACCTACTAAATTAATCCTTTAAAGCAGTGTAATAGTTTCTGTTTTAGGGTCATGATTCTATTTTTATAATTTTATTTATTTGTGGCTGTGAGACAAAGTGTGTCTATGTGCAAAAATGACAATGAAAATATGTGAGATTGGCAAATAAACACCTTTGAGAAAGACTGAAAATGAATGCATCTGTCAGTTTAGCATAAAAACAGCTATCTTCATGACAAATTAGATAAGGGGTTCTGCTTGTGTGCTGTATGTGTACATATGTGCTACAGACAGAGACAGGGAGAAAGAAGTGGGAGAGAATTAGATTGAGTTAATATCCATTGAGGCAGGGAGTTAAAGAGCCTTTGCCGGAACAATAGATTATAAATCATTGTGATTGTAATTTCAATATTTTCTTGTAAACTTGTTCACAAGGATATCAAATTATCAATGCAATAGATTTATTTGCTTCTGCTTGTCTTTCCAAGACTTTCTATAGTGGACCATTCTGCTTTTGAGTTTTTTTACTCAAATATTAGGTCACTCCTATGTGATTAAACAGACATTGTCACCCATTAGTTACAAAGAACTGCATCATTGATTAACAATAATGAAATCACAAAATGGAGTTGAGATGTTCAGATCTGTGACAGGATTTTGTCTATTTCCTAAAGCAAACACCTAAATCCTAAAACCCCATTGATGATGATACGGTAAGCACTTTTGCTCTCCTAATATATCTAGCTCTGTGAAGCTTGATAAAAACAGTGGAAAACAACATTATGCTTGATTTATTTGCAAGGCAGGGATAATTTCTTTTTCATGAAGTCTGGCAGCTACAGCTGAAAACTCTTGTTTCTCTAATGCCTATCTGATGTTGGCTCAATCCGAGAGTGATCTCGAATTCATGCAGCCAGCACTGAACTGTTGTCACCGTCTCTTAAGCCATCTAACACTTGCTTTGTGCTCTGGCTCATTATAATTAAGTTCTTTCGGACTATGTAAGTGTTGGAAATCACTGCATTCTTTAGCATCTATTTCCTGCTGCGTCTATGGGAAGGCTTTGACATCCACTTTATCCCTATGACATCCTATTAGTTGACGTTATAAAATAGTGATTGCCTACAGTATTCCAATGGACCTTAAGTGTAGATCATTATACTAAATAGGTTAATAGCAAGAGGCACATCTTAAGACACAGAAACCTATTACCCTAACCCCTAACTGAAGGGAAACTAACTATTAAATATTTCCAAAACTGGTTAAGTAAGTGCAGATAATAGGCATGCCAATATAGGGTAAAGATGTGCAAAATCCATAAAAGCCTAAGACTAACGACAAAAAAAAAAAAAAAAACCCTAAGGGAGTAGTGGATTAGGATACAAGGAAGAACATGGCTAATGCACACCTACACAGACATGCAGTAGCGTGAAATCCGTTCACCCTCAATGTTGCTCCACTGCTGCAGAGTAATTATGCGCTGCCTGCATTTTTGCTGTTTGCATTGTCTCCTGGGACAGTTGGCCTGATATGGATCTGTTGTAGTCATTAGATACAGAAGCATTCTGCAAAATTCCTGCCTGTTTGTTTGCCTCTATCATTTGAATGGGGGAGGGGGTTGATTTATTTCCCATTCACCCTCCATGTTATAAGAAAGAAATCCTATTTCTGCACACTTACAATGGTACAATGCTTTACAAAAGTGGCTATACACTTTTAAATGTTTCATTTTGTTATATTAAAAACTTCATTGATTTCTCATTGGGAAATAAACAAGCAGTTCATACGATTAAAGTTGATAGAATATGATACATAGTTTTCAAAAGAAAAGCATACCTTCAGAATAATTCTGAGACCACCAATGTAAGTTTCCTGCCAGTAGGTTTTGTTGCATGCAAGTTCAATTTTGTTTTTGTCAGACCAAAACTTTCTCTTTAACTCATTTTTTCCAGGCAACATCAAACTTCAAAACTTTCTTATGGCTACTGTTCAATAGTGGCACTCCTCTTGCCGCTCCTCTATTAATGGTAGATCTGCATTCTGCCAAGCTAATGACTATCTTGCCACTTATTTTTCCACCTAAATTGATCTCTGAAGCTTCTCCAGAGTTACCATGAGCCCCTTTGGGCACTATATAGTTTTCCTTATCCAGCCTGCCAATCGAAGTGAACAATAGAACTGACAGTTTGAGTGTAGCATTTTTGCTATGGTATTTCTATTTTCTCATCGTAGTTTAGCCAGGGCTTTGTAAAATGTTGCAAACTTCATTTATTATTTTAAAACTTAATAATTCTCTAAACTTTTCCATAACTACATCCATGGTCTTTTTGGTGTGTTTTGCATGAATTCAGGATGCAATGTTATGATATTATTCAGAAGCATTGGATTACAAATGACAACAAATGGAAACACTAGAATTTTAGATCTGTATTTCCAAAAATGTAATTATGGTAAAATTTCCTTTTACTTAACAATTTACGATTATTCCCTTTCAGTTGGTCTGAAAGCACAGATAGGTTACAATGGGGAAACTATAATTGAATCCATTGAAAGATGTTAGTGATTTCAGACCCTGACAACAGAATGAACTCCTTAACCACAAGCCTCCCCTGTTAAAGGATAATGAATTAATCTGTCCTCATGTTGGACTACACTGAGATCTGGCTGCTCTCTGCTGTGTCAGTTAACATCAAAGTAGATAAACATTGGCAGATCAAACACTCTGCTTTCATTAAAAATGTAGCACTATTCCAGGAGTTCTCATACATTTGGCCTAAGAGGTGTGTAGGATATCACACTGTGGAGAAGCAAACAGGGGCTGTGTGTTTAAGTTCTCTTGATGTTTACTTTTTAATTTCTAAATCTATTTATAGTACATGCAGAAAGCAAGCTATCGAATATGCATTATATAATTATCCAGGTGTAAGAAAAGAAAAACATGAGGAACCTATTCCTTCGTGTAACAGCTATACATGCAGAAGAATAGAAAATAATGTATTTGACAGTATCTTTCAAGCCAGTGTCAGACCTGCAGACTGTCTTTCCTCTAACCTCCAAACAGCCATCACAACGCGCTTCATATTACCACCTCTGCCGAGAAACTGGGGAGGAATCCAATCATAATTACATAGTTGTGATGGAAATGTGAAAAGGAGAGATGACATTATAGATCTGTTTTCTGACAGCACCTAACACTTGCGTCGTCTTTCTATCTGCTGCCATGGATTCCGGTAATGACTGGCTGTGCAAAAATAGATAAAGGAAGATGAGGAATATAAGACTGTGATTTGAAATTAATGTTTGATCATTTCCAAGAGTCTCTGGAGAGAAATCCTAAAGATGCACCTGTCTCCATAGAGGACGCAGTTTTCATGTTATCATAAATCATTTCTTGGATATCTCATCAAACAAACCATACATATGGGAAGAGTCATAATGAGAACAAACTCAGATATCACATCTACTTAGATAACAGTAGCGATGCATATTTGAAACGATTAAAATACCTTTACTTGTGTTGCAATAAAATGACCCAAATTTCAATCAACTTTTACTTTTTAAGGAAGCAGGATGCTTTCCATAAGACGCGTTTTATTATAAATATTATAGCTTAAAACACAAACAATGCTGATTTCAATGGTAAGATGTCAGACTGAACCTGGATGTTGTTCTGAGTTCAGGGTTTTAAAATAGAAAAATACAGTTATAAACAATTCTTTTCTACCCGTGTCAAAGAAAAAAATACTGTGTCTTATTCCATGGCTTCTAGGGTTCATTATAGCAATTTGAGAAACTCAGAGAAGTTAGAATTACTTTCGGATATTTGCCATCACATGGGTGCTGGTAAGTAAAAATTGTGCTTGTAGAAAAGAGTTTCTCATATTTCAGTAAATTGATGGAAGTTAAACTTATTCTAGCTTAGCTATAGGTAATAGCAGTATAAGACAGAACTATTGTTCAATAGAGGATGTTACCAGTGATGTCAAAAGTACACATATTTGTTGCTTAAGTAGAAGTATAGATACTGCAGTTTAAAAAAACACTCTGATAAAAGTTGAAGTCTCAACTTGACCTTCCTACTCAAGTAAAAGGTAAAAAGTATATGCTCCAAAAACTACTTAAAGTATAAAAGTACAAAGTAACCCTTATAAAAAACAAAAAAAAACATGCCACTATATAAATTGAAAGCTAAATTTTTCGACTATTTAGAAAAATTCTTTGATATACGGCCAAGAATGAGGGAGGTGTTGTTGGTCTCCGTCTCCATCTCCCGATACGCTCTCGCCCGTGTCCGACCTTTC